ACTTATTACAGTTCATGTAGTGTATTCTGCAGTATTCTGATTTCTTTTTCATTTTTTTTAAACTTTAAAATAGCTGTTTGCTCCTGAACCCTCTCTTTAGCCAGGCTCAGTGTGAAAGCAATTTTGTAGTGAGTGCTGCTGGAAATGCAGCACTTAGGAATGTTTCTGAACTTAATACAGGAGCAGACTGTTCCTGCTGGAATACTTTTTTTTTCTCCTACAAGTGCATCAGCTCCTTGTGTTGAGAGAGAAGCCAGGACTCAAAAAGTGTGAATCCCCTCAGATATGAGAGGAAGATTGGGATCAGAATCCAAACCGTTACCATCTTTATGGAGCCCTCTGCTGGGGAGTGCTTTCTGCAGTCTGTGGATGCTGAAAACTTTCTGCAGCTCATAAGGAAACCTCATTTCAGTCCTGCTTGCTCTCCTAGATGTAGCAGAGAATGCTCCCTGTTGTTGTTGTTTCTTATCTTGAAATTTAGGTGTGCAGAGTTAGGATTAGTGCCTTGCTTTGTGTGATAAGAACCCATCCAACTGATGTACTCTTCTCAGTGCTCTGTTTTCTCACCTGTGCAGCAGGCCAGGCATTTAATACCTCCATTCACAGAAGGTGTTTGTGCAACTCAGAGCCTGGACAGCTTCTGCTTCCACTTTAGGTGTCTGTATGCAACCCAGAAAGCTGGGCAACGTTAGAGCCTTTCTACTCTCCTGCCAGTCATCTCCTTCCAAGCTGGGCTTTGTCACAAGTGATAGTTCTTGGCAGCATTTTGGAAACATCAGATGGTGGCATTATCACTGATCACATGAAAGCAATTGATTAATAAGAGTTCTCCTGGAAAGGTCTTTCTGTCTTGACAGCTATCTGTGATTACAAAAGCACTGCAGAAAATGGGCTGTGTTCCCACACTACAAGTGTACTGAAAGAAGTCCTTTAGTGGAGACTTCTAAATGCCTCTTCCATTTCTCTAGTCATGCACCTCTCATTCCCAGTCTTGTCCTTAATTACCCACTTCTGCTTCCTATGCTGTGTGCACACATGTGCCACGGTGGTCGAGAAATGTGTAGATGTTGTACTGAGGGGCATGGTTTAGTGGGGAATATTGGTGATAGGTGAATGGTTGGACTGGAGGATCCTAGAGGTCTTGTTCAGTGTTAGTGATCTTATGATTCTGTAAGGTCCCTTGAGTTCCATGGTGTGTTTTGGCAAGCCAAGATTTCTTGAAAAGTAGAATTGTGCTGAATAACATCCCTGTAAGTCGCTGTCAGGTGGCTGTTAGTGCTTTGTAGTTCTCTCCCCTCTTAGCTTGTGTTCAGATAGGGCCAGGCCTGTCTTGTAGCTCCCTGAAGTGGTAGCTCAGCTCTTGAGCTGCTCTGCTCAGTGCTGGCACAGGAGCAAAGGTTCCACTTTCTTGAAGTCATAGGAACTGGGCTCACCACTGGAAGCCAATTAGTACTGGCTTCTGATCGATTGCAACTTTGGTGCTCATCAGATGCTCATAGGCATTCAGACCCTACAGCGCTGAATATTTGGTATTATCACAGCCTAAGACTACTGTGGACTATAATGATGCTCTGCATTACTGTCTAGACACCACCGGGTCCTCTGGGTCTGGTGCAAAGAACAGAGATCGAGACCTCCATGTTTTGTCTTGCAACTTTTTACAGGATTTTTCTTACAGTTTGTTTGAACTCACTGTGAAAGTCAAGTTGTCACCTTCTAGTAAGCCTTGCTGCTCTTAGAGTAGGAAGATATTTTTCCTGTGCACAAAATCTAGCAAATAATGGTTTAAGTATGGTGGAGAGTGAAAACACTTAGAATCATAGAATGGCCTGGGTTGCAAAAGACCACAATGTTCATCCAGTTCCAACCCCCTGCTATGTGCAGGAACTCCAACCAGCAGACCAGGCTGCCCAGAGCCACATCCAGCCTGGCCTTGAGTGCCTCCAGGGATGGGGCATCCACAGCCTCCTTGGGCAACCTGTTCCAGTGAACGTGTGACAGTGACTTTTAAACATTAAAGGAAAATATCTAAAAGGTATAGGTAGTTGCCTCCTATGCTATGGGCTTCAGCAGTGGTGCAGGTGCCCTATAGTAAAATTGAACCATTGCTCCTTATGGCAAATTATAAAGGTGGAAGCTTGCAAAAAAAAAAAAAAAAATTGTCTCATACTTCTCTTGGTGCCTTCTAGCTTCTCAAAAACTCAACATTTCAATGCCTGTTACAAGGTTGTCAGGTCCTTCAAAACCAAAATTGTTGACAGGTGAAGCAGGAATCTCATTTTTATCGGGATTCCTGCTGCTTAGATTGCATTGCTGTCACAGCAGGGAAGTGTTGAAATTCTCAATTTTTCTTCCTCTGTGTCAGTCGAGGCAGAACTGAGCCTGTTACAGAACACAGTGCTTATTTTGTCTGTCAGAGGGTCAGATTTTGCATTTTTCGACATGTAGAGATGAGGTAGCTCTCCCATTGTCTGCTTATGCATCACCCTTACTGCAGGAAGGAATAGGAATGTAATGGATGGTATTTTGGTGCTGCAGTCATAGTGAGAGGAGACAGCATTTACTCTACTTAGGCCTTCTTAGGGTCACATTGCATGTGACACGTGATAACTAGACTTCAGTGAATGTTAAGAAAACAACAAGACACTGAAGAAGGTCTACAGAGCAAGATGAACTTGCAGTAGTACTGTGCCTGTTATGTCTGCTCTAGTTGACAAAGGGGTGCCAGGTGTGCAGAAGTGCTCCTGCAGCTGCTCTTCCTGAGTGCACAATTTGGATAGTGTCACACAATTACCAGGAGAACTGTTTGCATTTCTTTATTAGAGATTAGCATGTTGGCTATGGGCTATGTTCCACTGGTATGATTATCTTGCTTCCTGTGCAAGAGAACCTTAGCTTAGCCTTGAGTACTTGCAAGCATGCTCCACAGAGTACCTAACTCACAAGGGCTTGCTGATGTGTTTGCACATCAATCTAAATGCTGTCCACATCTGCTGGGCTTTGCAGTTTTGGTCGTTTCAGTCTCCTCTTTGGAGTGGCTGTGGAGGTCTCTGAAGGGCCAAGTAGGACTGGTTTAGGAGGTAAAACATAATTTTGCAAAGAGACTCTGATGTGACATACAAACCTGCAGTTTTTGGGGTCTGGCTGTGTGACACGCAAAACTATAGGATCATTGAGAATGGAAAAGACCTCTAAGATCATCTGTTCTTAAATGAAAAGACCTTAAGATCATCTAAGATCAACAGTTCACCCATCCCAACCAGATCCTTAAGTGCAGCATGGCTCTTGATTACCTCTCTGGGCAGCATGTGTCAGTTTGTTACTGCTGCTTCTGAGAAGAAATGTTTTGTAATATCCAACCCTAACCTCTCCTGGTGCAGCTTAAGGCCATTGCCTGTCATCCTAGCATGCATTCTTCCCTATCTTCTGGGACCAGTGGGTGCTGTAAGCAGCCTGCCTGTGCCTGCCATCCTCCTTGTGTACCCCTGACCTCTGTGTGGTCTGCATTTCTTTAGAAGCACAGTTTCCTATCTGTGACCACCAAGTGGTGCTCTGCACTCTGCCTTGCATGAAGGCAAGCTGATGGCATTTGGGGTAGGGGGTTACAAAGCTGTTTACAGACATGTGAATGAGCCCTTTTTTCCCCTTGGTGCAGCTGTGCTGTGAGGGCTGTGCTATCCTCATCCTTGTGCTGTGGCTGTGGGGTGATGGATGGAGCTGGGTGATTTTCAGGCGTGATAAGTAGTCTTGGCACTTTCAATTCAGGTGTTCAGCTTGGCTGCCTGCTGGAGTTTGAAAGTGCAGAGATGGATATTTACTTTCTCAAAGCCAGTTCCTGGCAGGTGTCTCCAATTAGCTTGCTAAAATCACAGAAGCCTTCTAAAAACCTTGTTCCAAGCTAGATTTTCAGATACAATCTGATCGCTGTTTTCTCTGACCTTTTTTTTTCCACCCAGTCCATTCAGGGAAAATGTGCTCATGGTCATGTTCTCCAGAGTGCTGGCTGCTTAGCACCTTTGCTGTTTTGTTTGGGAAATCTTTTGCTTACAGCTGTGTTGCTCTCAGCAGAGGCACAAGACCTACTTTAACTTATTTTTGCAGGTTTCCTGCAAACACTCTCCAGGTGCCATACTCAGGTGTACAGAGACTGTGTATTCTGTATGGAAGCATATAGTTTGATAGAAAAAGTTCTTATCTTGATTAAGATTCACATTAAGCACATCGTAAGATAGAATGTATTTCTAAAATATAAAGGGAATGTAAGGATCTAACTACATTCCTGTAAGCTTCATTCAGTGCTCTGTGTGGTATAACTGTTTGCAGGATCTTCTTTTCCAGATACTGAAAGACATGCTATAGCAGGATGATGCAACTAAATTCAAATAGCAGCTCATTTGTATGAAATGCAGAGCTAAAACTGAAAGGTGGCAAGTGCAATTGTCCTGTCTGGTGAGCTGGAAAAAAACATGCTGTGTTTTAAAAGCAAATCCTTGATTTGGAAGAAATTAGCATGGAATTATCATGGAATCATAGAATGGGGTGGGTTCTAGTTCCAACCCCCTGCTATGCGCAGGTCGCCAACCAGCAGACCAGGCTGCCCAGAGCCACATCCAGCCTGGCCTTGAATGCCTGCAGGGATGGGGCATCCACAACCTCCTCGAGCAACAGGTAACACCATGTAACAGCATGGTGAACGCCTTGGCTTTTTAAGTAAAAGCTGGGAAGAGGCACTGTGGGAAGCCCTGCTGGGTGTACGCTCTGTTCTTATAGCTGCTCTTCTCTGCTGGTAGCTGTGGTAATAGGGTGGAGACAGAAGCTTGAGGCAGGACTGGGTTCTTCCACATCAACCCCTCTGGGTGTCTCTCATGTCAGAAAACAGGCAGGACTTTGTTAAGGTGGCTTGCCTTTGGAAAGGGGATTATGAGCTCATTGATAGGGATGTATGAACCTTCTGTTTTGTGGGACCTTTCCTGATACTGCTTTTGTGTCTTCTTGACTAGAGGTCGAGGAAGAGGAAGAGGATGAAGAGGAGGAGGAAGAAGAAGAGGAGGAAGAGGAAGATGAAGAAGACAAAGAGATGGATTCTATGGATGAAAGCATGGAGGGTGACACAGAGCTGCCAGGCTTTACACTTCCAGGCGAGACCTCCCAGGAGCCCATAGGTGGCCTGGAGAACCCTGCAGCCCAGCTGGCCGGGGTGTCCTACCAGGTTCCTGATACCATTGAGTGGGAACAGCAGAACCAGGGTCTGGGTGAGTGAATAAATCCTTTTTTCCCTTACCCTTATGGAGGACATGTCTCCTCTTCATCTTGCGTGGGACAACTTGTTGTACTGGGACATCTCAGCAGGCCTCCAACATACTTGGCTAAATGTGGAGCAGCTGTATTTCTGAGAAAACCCTGGCCCCAGAAACAACTGGTCAAATTGGAATGAGTCCCAAACAATGTGTCCTTTAGCTTGGGAGAGAAGCTCTCTGCATACTCCAGGCATGGCAATCATTCCTAGAGCTTAGTGTTGTGTATCTCAGCTGAAATTCCTGGGGAAGTTTTAGTGTCCTTTGCTTGAGGTGTGTTGGTGCAGGCATACAAGTTCTGTGAGGGTGAAGTGTGCTGGGGAGTTGCTAATCTGCCCATTGCTAGTTCAGTGGCATTCTTGTACGCACCACTGACATTTCTTCAGGGTTGTGTGGTCCAGTCTTGAGACCCTGTGCTGAAAGCATTAAGCAAGACAAACCCCTAAGGAGACCCCATGCAAAGCATTAACCAGTTTATTCCCGCTATGTGCATAGACTCTGTGCCTTATGGCTGTGTTATTCTGCCTAGAAAGGTGCATCAGTGAGAGCTGAATGACATCCGTACAGAAAATATGCGTGGCTCTTGATGATCTAGCTGTACTGAGAGGCTCACCAACTGCAGAAACCCCAGACCCCTTTTACGTGTTAAGTTATATGAACTGTTGCTTCCCCTAGATGTTTAATTCTCTCCATGTAGTCCCATTTCCAGCCTGTTTGAGCATTGTTAGTTTCCTTTGAAATAAATCAAAGAGTGTATTTAAAGAGCCCTGTGGGAGGGCTGCTCTATGAGGGCAGACTGAGTTTGCATCAGGCCTGATATCTCCTATCTCACTAACTCTTTCTTGAAAAATATTATGTTGGATGATTTGCATGTCAGATCTGTTTCACAGGTCCTGTTAACTCACCACGCTGGGCAGGAGCTATGCAAGGGAAGTAATGCTAAGTCTTTAATGACTTTCTGGTTGGCTTTGAGAAGCTGTATTAGAGAACTACATGACTGTGCTTGGAAGAGTGTAGAAAACATAGGGTTATGGTAAGAGTTGCTTCAGTAGCTTTGTGCTGTTATTCTGCATGTTTCATTGGTGCAGGATCTTTGGTGCCTTTAAGAAAGGTACATGTTTTTTGTACTCAGAAACCTGTAACTGCTTGCCTGGGTCAGGACTGTGTGTAGGAGGATGGATGGCTCTGCCTTTGGATGAATCAGTCCTGGCTAAAGGTACAAATGCTTTGCTGTGGTCAGGAAATGCAGTGTTTGACAAACTCCAAGGTGTGTCCCCATGTAGCACACGGGAAGAGGAGGAAGATGGCATTGATTCCTCCTCTGGGATGTGAGGGCTCCTTGCCCTAGAGCAGAGCCTTGTTGAAAGATGCTCCTTACAGTATTTTTTAGATGGCTTTTTCTAAACATAAGGACTCAGCTCTATTTTTGTGTTTTGTATTAATATTATTTCATCCTGCAGCCTTCATCTTCTACCACCTTTCCTCTTTCTTTTTGAAAAAGCTCTCTTTCCCAAAATTTCAGACGTGGAATAAATCATGTGGCCAGAGACAGTTTTTTTTTTTTTTTAGCTCACTTATATTTTATTTACCCTTGTGCAAATTGGGAAAGCTTGCTGTGAAGCTTGTCAGGTTGGGTCAGCTGCTAAGTGCCGAGCCAGGCACCTGGAGGACAGAGCAGGTGTGAATTTCTGTGCTGTCTGTAAGTGCCTGGCTGGGTTGTGTGTCACCAGATCCAAATAGTTTGGACTGCCTTCATTTTGGAGCTGTTGCAGTCAGGAGGGAGAAGCTGAGCTGACATTGTCTTTAAGAGGTAGATGGGACTTTTGTACTGTGCTGTTTTGGGGAGAAGAGAGAAGGAACAATGGGATCAGTCTTTTTGCTTCAAATTCACCCATCACCCATCTTTTTCTATCAGGTAAACACTTACATAAAGAGTCATTTCTTCTTTGTCTGTTTAGATGACCTTTGATTGTTTCCTTCCCCTTCTCCAGTGTTCTTTAAGAGGAAGGGAAATGATCTGTTTCAGACAGAGGCACAAAGAAAACCAAGGTATGAACTCATACCAAAAACCTGAGGTTGAGCAAGGAACTGAACTGAGTGTTCAGAATGTCCTTTGTTGGGAGTGGGGAATGGGAGATGTCCTGTACCTGGCCCTGTTACATGCTGCTCTGTGTGCTGTGTTATCAGGGGCACTCAAAGGAGAACATGAGGGATGGACAACATGTGTAGCTTGTGTCAGCAGGAGGTGTGTTGTTAAGAATAAAAGAAATTCACCAAACTTGACAAGAGACCAAAAGAACTGCCCATGTTGTTCTACATGGACAGAGCAGACTTATTGTACAGGGCTTATAAAACTTTGAATCTACTGGGCGTGTTCATGGACTCTTCAAAACCCTCTTTTTCTAAGTGCTTTCTCAACTAAATCTAGCCCTCTGAAATCTATTTCCTTTAACTGCTTTTCTTCTAAAGCTGAAACTAACTTGCCTTTCACTTTAAGACAACTTTTTAACCACTGTACTTGCTTCATCACAGCCCTGGAGGAGATGGATCTGCAGTTTGTTGCAATTCAGCTGGGTCAGGGCATGTTGCTCCTGCCTGTCTCAGCTCACAGTAAGTTTTGGAAATAGGAAGGGAGATTCAGAGCTCATCCTTGGGATTCCACAATCAGTGCCAAGGAGTGACTAATTTCCCATTCTGTACAAGCGAAATATGGTTTAGAGAGGGATGTTCTGCTTAACCTGGGATATGGCACACCTTTCACTGAAGAAAGGTGATGGTACCCAACAAGGTGCAAGATAAGGGCACACAAGAGGAGACAAGGCAGTGAGTTCTGCAGCTAGAACATCATGACTTTGTATGCTTCAGTTTGCAGATATCAGCTTGATAGATTGCAGCAGATCCTGCAAAGTTACTGCAGATGCTTTATTAAAGTTTCTCTAGGAGATAACTGAAAACCTATCTGAAGCAAATTGCAGAATACCCACAGTAGTCAATTTTGTCAGCCTTGTGTTTGATTCTGTCACGATTCTCTTAAATGGAGATTAAATGTTATTTCCTCTTGATTCTCCTTTTTTTTTTTTTTTTTGTTCAATAAGTACCAAACTTTTACAGTTAGCATTTTTCATCTTTAAAATGTTTCACACATATCTCCTTCTCCTGGGGAGATATTCTGTCCTGTGGCCTTCAGAACTTTGAGATTTATCTCTAACATCCATGGTACAAAAGAGCGAGAAGTACTGGAGTAGGTACTCTCAGCTCAGTTATTATTGGGTTTACCTGCTCTGATGGCTGACATGCTGAAAATCCCTGGAGAATGAGTAACTTGATCCACAGGCAGCTTGGCAAAACAAAGAGACAGTTTAGATTTTTGTAGTGGTCAGTGAAAAAGTGCCAGAGAAACAGAATCATTAAAATGTCAATTCTGGGAAGTCAGATGGTCCTACATTAACTCCAGCTGAGCAAAAGCAATTTATATGCTTCAGTAATGAGGCTGTCAGCTTTACAGTCTATCAGCTGACTCTGTAACCAGCAAGATTTAGACAAAAATAAAGTTAAATGATAAAAATAAGTGATGCCATCAAAACAGAAGTTGATCCTCCAAGAAACATTCTGATAGCCTCTGGTTCTGCAGAAGGAGAGTCTGAATGTGCTTTTGGATCTCTGTTGGTGTTTTAATGCTCTGTCTTCAGATGTAAAGGGCATCTTGACAGAACTTTGGGACCTCTCTGCACTGTGGGAGATGACTTCAACCTTCCTCTGCTTGTTTGAGTTGTTCCTGAGTGGTGCATAGTAAGTGAACACAAACTTTGTGTTTGGAGAATATCAGAGGGGCAGGAAACTTAAGCTTTCTGAGAATGAATAAAAATGCATCATTCTTCCCTTCTCCCTCTTTTGGGATAAAATGTTCATGCATTACAACAAGAACTGCTGTTGATTTAGATGAACTCAAACCTAATGAACACTTCCTGGGTCCTCTTTTAGTTATTTCTCATGAATGTTAAAATAAATTACTTTTGTTGTACACTTCCATGGAGATCAATACCTTTTACCTCTGTGTTGGTGATGGCTGCTGTGACCATTCCCTTTTCCCACTTCCTGAGAGTGTTTATGTGTGTGGCAGCACCACCCCATCATTATGGTACAGACTACAGGGTAAGACACAGCAACTTATCTTGAACTAGTGTAGAACAAGGGAATGCTCCCAAGCTGTTTGTTAATGCCACAGTGTTTGCCAATCTTCCATGTCCCAATGTGTGTAACTGGGAGATCCTGCTGTCTGTAGTATGATAGCAGTAAGAGGACTGGGACATTTACTCGCCTTTAATTTTGCTGTTCTGAGGTTTGCAGTAATTTGTTTTGTGCATTCAAAATGCATGGAGTTGTTCAGAGCAGCTGTGGCTTTTGCTTTTTGAGGTTTTACAGGGTTGTGACTTCTTGAATGTGTGGTTGAAATTGTTGATGGGGGGGTTGGTATGGTGGACTTTGGTTCTTTAAAATGTTGGTGGAGCCTGTTGGTTGCTTATCCTAGGCCACCATAAATATGAGATACCATCTAGCTGTAGATGACCCTATTCCTTGCAGGGGAATTTGTAAGAGATGGCCTTTAAAGATCCCTTCCAACTCTAACAGTTCTGTGATTCTATTTGAACCAGAAATCTTATCAGAGAAGACGCTATTGTTATGCTCAAAATCATGTTTTATAGGCAAAAAAAAAAAAGGCACATCCCATATATACCCAAACCCAAGAATTTATTGCTAATGCTACTGTATTATTCACAGTCTAATTGTTATTAGTCTAGACATAGTTATTTTTACAGAAAAAGAAATTATGCAGTTAGAGTTGTAACACCCACAGTTCTTGGTTTCTGTGCTTATTCCTGGTTTGATGTATCTCACTCAGTTTGCTGTATATGGTGGCTTTTATATATGTTGAATACTACATTTGTTTTACCTTAAAT